CCCCCGTCTTCCCCCACACCCCCACCATCACCACCACCCTTCGCAAACCTGCGATAAAGGAGCGTCAAAGCAGCTTGAAGGCTGAATTAAGATGAGGTTTAGAAACAAAAATCCGCCCGCCCCCACTCGCAGAACATAAAGCATCACCCTATTGACGTGGTTGTTCGACCGTGACGTGCACTTTTTTTTTAAACTGAAGAAAACGATTTTGTTGTTGTTGTTGTTTTATTCACACAATCCCATAGAAAACGATGACGCGTGATTGTTTGTTGATAATTCATAATTGGTTGTTTTCTATGTTATGGACGATATAGAAAGCTGCTTAAATGTACACACGTTCTTGTAAGTTTAGCTGGCAGATTTTGTGACACATTGGCAAATTTCGTGTGGGAAATTATTATTATACTCACTATTCTCCTTCTTCCTCTTTGGTTGAATGACTGTGCAATTCTGGAATGCCAATTTGTTGAACTTGAATCCTCTTAAAAATAAATGTGTTCACTCATGTTTTCTTGAAAGAATGATACCAATCTTAAAACTTCTGCCAGGATGTGCAAACTTGTGAGGATAACAACGAGTCAATTATATTCATTTTATTCATAAAGGGCAATTATTTATTAAATGAACAGTTCTTGATTTGAGTGAAAAATGTTATATTTAAAGGCATATTCGAGTATTTTAGTATTTACTATTAAAAGCCCAGTTGCTTGAATTCATGTGACTTTATGGATCTGCAAGAATATTTCAAAGACAGTTAAATGCTTAAGTTATAGTGATAATTTCAATTATAATTATCACAATCCATAAAAATCAATTTTCATTTCAAACACTGAAGGAAGGAGGAAGAACGTTTCACCTGCTTCTCCATGCTGCCTTTATTGTTCCAAAAGATATGATTGAATCAAACCCCTAAATAAAGAGGCGACCCATGTCTCAAATATTATTTTCAGCCCCTTTTGGTCGGCTCAGTGACAACCCTTTTTTTCTTTTTTTAATTAACCCATCAATCAATAAGTTGTTCCCATGCATAATTCAAAGGGGGGCGCCCTTTATTGAAGATTTAATTGACAAATTGCTGCTCCTAGTATGGGGTGGGCCTTCACGGGCCAGCTCCTGAACAAACAGCCATCCTGACATGTTTAGAGGGTGGTGGGGGTGAGATTTTTGTCATATAAGCCCATTAAAAAAAAAAAAAAAACATTTCAAACCCAATCAAAATCAATCAATGACGAGTGGGCCCGCAGTTACCTGAACCCTGGACTCGACCAGGTCCAGCCTGAGGGCGAGTGCCTCCCGCATGAACACGTCTGGATAGTGGCTCTCGTTGAAGGCCTTCTCCAGCTCCTCCAGCTGCCAGCCGGTGAAGTTGGTCCTGGTTCTTCTCCGTTTGCAACCGGGACTCTCTTTGTCTGGGTCCCCGGAATCTGTTGTTGTTGTCCGAAACAGTTAGCACCGCAGCGTTCATTGATTGGCAGCTTGACCCGTTCGGAGAAGCGTACTGCTTTCATTCAATAATTTTAGCTCACGACTCTTTTTTTTTTTCCCCCCCCGAAAAAAAAAATTCAATACTGAGGATGGAACTTAATTGCCATTGTTATGAAGTATGTACATTTTATTTACAGCGCTTCTCACGGTGCAGATAGGGATCGCGGCGTTTTGGAAGCGTAGCTCCGAAAAAAAAAAATACGAGAACGAAATAAGAATGAGCAAAACTAAAAATGAAAAGACTTCAAAATCAAGGGTGGATCTTGGGGCCAATTAAATCGACGTTTTACAGAAAATGACAACCACATGAGGTGACTTTGCATCCCAATGAAGATTTGACGACACGCTGATAATCTCGCCGTGGTGTGTTAATTTTTTCCTCAGAGCTGCATGTAAAATACAGAAACACGACCGTTTAAAATAAATACAAGAGGGAAAAACTCAATCAAATCAAAATAAATAAACATAATAATGGCGCGGGGTCCGAATAATCAAGTCTCATACTCGAATGCTTGCAGAAGCAAAAAAAAATGTTTTTAACTGCTGTTTAAAAATATCGGAAGTAAAATAAAGGAAGTAAAAATCAAACACACACACGAACACACACACGCACACACATACACACACGCACACACATTTGGTAAAATAATTAAAATGCAACAAAGGTTCAAATATATTTTACCGTAATTGGAGAACAATTCGAGATCAAGCAATCAAGGTTTACTGCACCCAAAAGCTTCCTTTTAACAACCGCAAACCCTTGCTAAATATGATTCAAAAAAATAATAAAAGAGTTCTTCTCGAAAGGGGACGAATTGGGCGAGCTTACCGGAGAGTTTGTACTGGCCGTCGGGCGACAAGAGCGCGCTGGAGCTCACCACCGAGGCCGAGCAAGAGCCGTTTAGTAATCCGTCTATGGTGAAGGGGACTGCGGCCGCCGACTGCAGCTGGTGAGCGCTGGCGAGCTCGTAGTGGTGCTGCTGCTGCTGCTGCTGATGGTGATGATGAGGTTGATGCTGCTGGTGGTGATGGTGGTGGTGGTGATGATGGTGAGCAGCGAGCGGATACGGAAAGCCCACCAGCCCGCCCAAGGGGCCCCCGAAGTGGGCGTGAGGGTGATGCTCGAGGACGCGACTGTCCATGCTCGCCCGGGCTGCATGCGGCGGGGCCGAAGTGAGGATGCGCAGGGGGCGGCAGTGTGTGGCTGCAACATGCAGTCAGTAAAGGATGCAAAACGTCGTTTTAAAAAGGAAGCGAGGCTTGCGTGCCGACGGGTCGTCTCCCACGGAAGCACGGATGAGCGTTGTGATCAAGCCGGCAGCGACGTGTTGTGGTCCAGCCCGAGATGTCATGCTCGCTTCCCCCTCCTGGAGCCTGCTCATTAGGACTCCCCCATCTGCTGGCGGGGCCAATCACAAGCCTTAATGGCCGCCTGACGTCACCGCACTCAGAGGAGGCTGAGCTTTGTTCGGGTTTTATTATTATTATTATTATTATTATTTTACTTCGAGGGTCGATGGCTATAATTACACGTGGTGCCGTCATGTCCAAACATGAAACACTCGATTCCAATAACTTTATACCCCCCCCCCCTTTTTCAACTTAAAACGCATGTAGCACCAAATTTGACATCGGGGAAATATTTAATTGTGGTCACGATGTAATAAAAGGAAGAAAATAAATGAACATATTTCATATCAGTCTAGCAATAATATATATATATATATATATATATTTTTTTTTTTTACCTCTTTAAAATAACTACAACAGTTACATTGAAAAATATCTGGATAGTAAAACTAATTTGCAACGCTGTTAACATATGTCCAGGCTCCTCCAGCAGTGCACCGTAAATGCTTATTTGGGGAAGGTGATCCTCCAAAGCAGTATTATCAAAGCAGTTACATGAATATTCATTCTTTGTTCATACAATGTAAGCGTAGTAAAGTAATACTTTTCTTGGAGTCCATACTTAACAATTGCTCATCTGTCATCGGACTACTTGATCTGATAGATTTGCTTTTTGGTCCCGTTCAATGAACAACTGAAAGTGCAACTGTGACTCTCTCTCCTCAACTCGTAAGTCGGGGCACTTGTAAGTGAAGGTACAACTCAATTACGTGTGAAGCAAATTCTAATTGTGGCCACAAATTAAATGTACAAAATGGTAATAAATGCCTCTTCGTAATAATGATGGCACACCTATCAGAATATTATTGTAGATCACGTCCGGATAAAACTCAATCATGCTATTATTAGTATTTCTCATGGTTTGAGTTTCTTAGCTACATGAGAACGATTACTAGGCACATTTACCAATAATTTATCCTACATGTCTTCATGAAAAGAACTGAAATAAGCAGATTCAACCCACAAGTTGGAAGCACAGTGGCACTTGTGGTTAGCAAGTCACCATCCCAGTTCTGAGGTTAGAGTTCCAATCTCGGCTTCCTATTTTTAAATATGCATGGTGTGCTTTCGTGGCTTTTCCTCTGATACTCCCGTCTTCCATGCACACACATTCCAAAAACATACATTTCATGTTAAGTGAAGACAATAAATTGTCCATAGATGTCAAAATGAGTGTGAATGGTTGTGCGTCTATATGCATCCTGTGATTGGCTGGTGACTCGGTGTACCGCGGCACTCGGCTACGATCCAAATGAGGTACTCTTGAATCCAGCTGAATTAATATGAGGGGCAGTTAAAAAGTAATGACCCCTGCTCAAAATGACCAGACTTCATATTTTCAGAAATTTCAACGGTGTGTAGTTAAAACAACAGTTTAAAATATAAACTGCACAAAAAAATGTCATTGGAACATATCCACTTCCTGTCAGCCATTTTGGAAATGACATCATCATTGGATGGAAGACAGAGGCAAAGAGCTGTGATTGAATTCCTAGTTTTGCATTTTCAAAAGATTGGAACCCTGCCATCATCTCCTGTCACGATACGGTTGAGGAAAGTTTTGTCGTTTTTGTGACAGGATAAAAGACTGAAGAAGAGGGTGACTTTTAACCACTAAGTTTAATAGCGAGCCTGTTTTGGTGGGACCATTGAAATGAGCACTTGCACGAACATGACTTAATAAAATTCGGACTCTCACACACCGGGAAAAAAAAAAAAAAACAGTCGCATATGTGACAAATTTTGGTCGGTCTCGAGGCCTGGCGCGAGGTGTATCATAAGTGATTCTTCTCTCGATGTCTTGCTCGTTAGGTTTTTGTTTGCACCTGTTCTCGTCAGCCCGGTCGCTGGTGTCAACCAATCAGCTCCTTCCTGTCTTGTGGTCTTCTTTGTCTCGTCAGTTTGCTTGTCGTAGTTCCCTGATTTCGTTTCGTCTTTCCAGATTCATTTTGTTTCCGTTGAGGTTAGTGTCAAGCGTCCTTATGACTGTTTTTGTTGCTTTGATCAGTTGTATTTGGATTCGTTGGGACAATTTAGCGTTTCGATTCCTCCAGGGCCTTGTTTGCCTTTTTGTACTTGGGGTGGGGAGATGAATCTTTTTTTCCCCATCCTTCATCTGATGTTTCCTCCCCTGCTTGGATCCTTCCACCTTTTGCCACAAACATGGCCGCAAAACTGCGCCCAATTTCACAGTGTTGAACATATTTGTACTTTTTTTTTTTTTTGACAGTCCAAAATGTTCCTCAAAACATAAGACAGGAACAAATTAATTGCATCCTATGAGAGTTTAGTTTTAACCTTTAAATTAGAAGAACTTCTTCAGCTCGAGGTTCCGCTGCATTGTGTTTGTTTTTTTGCTAATGGGTTCGTGGTTTTTAAGTGACAAGCATTCAGAGCGTTGCGTGTCGTGCGTACGCTTTAAATAAACTAATTATCCAGTTGAGGACTTGTCTAATGGCCCTCGACTTGAAGCGTGCGTTGGAAAAGAAGAGGTGTTGAAATTTACAGACATGAAAGGGGCCGGTAGCAAACGGCTGTGAGGGTCCACATCTTAGGGGAGCAAGCGAGAGGTGTGTGTGTGGGGGGGGGGGCGTGTTTGGGCGGGGGGGAAAAAAAGATTATACATATAAATTGTAAACGGTGTCGCAGGGGCCAAATCTTGCCCGAGGCGGTGACTGCTTCATTTTGTGTTAAATTTCTTGACAGAGAGACACCGGCGTGCTGGTGAATACTGAATGGTAATCAGAGCTGCTTGAATAAGTGCCCCCCCTCCCTCCTTCTTCCATTATACTGTGAATTAATTCGACTTTATTTATCCAATTTCTGGAGCTGACAGAATGTTAATTTGAGTTGAGATTTGGCTCCGCTGTTCCGCGTGTGACCCTGCAGCCCTGGGATTGGCGTGTTGTAATAACCTGAATCTTTCACCAGAAGCTCCGATAATTGTTACCTTATTAGCATGTAAATTGTTTAATTAATATTATTATGAAGAACCATATAATCCCCTCCGTTACTTGACCCGCGAGTCAGCCGACGAGCGGGCTCTCTGCATTTCAATGTGTGCCGCTTAAATAGCCTCTTTAATGTCGCCGTCGAAAGCTTTTCCTGCAATCTTAGTGCAACTTTGAGCACTTAAGAGGCGCTTTTGATGTCACTCCATCTCTTTCTTTATTTCCCCGCTGCTCCCTCTGATGCCTATTTATTCTCCGCATCAAAATCCATCGCTTTCTTGTCATTTGCTTATAAAAGCTCCTTCCTTGACAAAGGCCGCCCCCCCCCATCCTCCCGCCTTCCTCCACTCCGCCGGCGGCAGTGCGAGCCAAACGCATGCGGCGCTCGATGAAAAGCAGCCCTTGACATGAGGTCCCATGAGAGCGCGCCATTTAAATTCGCCTTTCTTCCTTCCTCCTCCTCCTTTTTTTTTTCATTTGCAGGGCACGAGTGACATTGTCAGATGCTGGCTTTAATTAACTTGATAATAAGATGGGCAATTCACGTACGAGGCTAGCCACCAGCCCCAAAACACCCTCTCCACTTCGAGAAGCAGGAGCAGGACTGCAGTCACACTCCCAAAACCAAAAAAAAAAAAAAAATGTATGATCTCCAAATATCAATAACTGCGTGGATTTGCTATTAAATTCAACCATCTAAATTCCAAGCTGATCCAATTGAAAATGAAGAAATCAATCAGCGTCCTATCAAGCCGGGTGCACACATACTGCTGTCTAACATCTTAACGGATTTCTAAAATGTGGTAGACCCCACAAGACAAAACTATAAAATCTGTCCTGACGACCCTGACAGTGTGTGGTGTACTTGAGAACCGACAAAGCAGGCAACGCCACACTCAAAACGATAGCCACAAACAATCATGAGTCTGTTGAATCACAAGCCTGTTGTAGTGCCAAAACTGACCTGTGAGAGGCAGCATAGTTCCACAGAGACTACACCCTGCTGGAAAATCCAAAGAATTCATAGAAGAAGAAGAAATGGAAGAATCCAGGCTGTTCGGGTCGCTTCCTGATTGGCTATTGTATGTTTCCACGTCACAATTACGGAGATAGCGGCTCTGTATTGACAACAAATGCAACTTTTTTTGTGAGGCAAACCATCCTTATGTCTCACGCAAGCTGCTGCTGTTCTTAGGCCTTTATGAATTCAGCAGGAAATACATACAAAGAGGTGAGTGCCGAATTAAGTTCCTGGCTGAACTTAAACGCCCCCCCCATTGACACTCCAAAAACGAAAATGATGGATGGCCATATATTGTCTTAAAGTCCCTGTAAAGTGAAAATAAATGTATTTGAAATTTGACACAGCACAGAGAAGAGTACCGGTACCAATTTTGGTGGATTAAAAAAATTGCCAAGAATGGAAAATGAATCTTAAAAATAATTGTGGACATGTCCACTGACCACATGAAACCACGCTGAATAATGGATGCCACTCCAACATCTTTCTTCTGCCTAAAATGTTTGGAGTGTGAAAATGTGTCCGCTTCAAGCCTCCAGTGACCTGAACGTATCCCACCGGCTCATTGTGAGCTTTCCACCAGCTAGCTTCTGAGGGAACATGTTAGGGCTTCTTAACAACTAAGTAACTTGCAGTAGCGTCAGATAAGAACTGATCCAAACAAAGACACTCAAGTTCTTATAAAATGTGGGAGGAGCCATTCATGCCTGACACCAAAGCGCATCACAGGGCACGATTTGAGCCGTGCCCCAAAAATTCAGGAAAACTCTATAGTTCCATATTTGCATACTACATACTTCTCAGTCTTTGCAGATGTTCTCATAACTTAACTTCCAAGATGTATTTTTACAAATGCATCCCTCAATTCATTGAAGAGGTTCATTCAGGGCTTTCGTTTTGATGACACGGCTTGTGACATGTTGACACGTGATGCTCCGGGCCCTCACATTCTTCAGCATATCCAGTGAGTTGTTTTTTTAATCACAGCGGCTGTGTATTTGTGCCTTCATACATGAGGTATCGATAATTAACATCTTGTCCTTATGTCTTATGCCTGAATAAATTGACAGCACGCTCACAGAGACTCATTATTAGCAGCTTTTCAGCAGAGGCTCGTATGCATCAACTGAAGTAAATCAATATGGAAATAGTGAGCGCACAGTGTATTCTCCAGGACTGTCTAAGCCAATAGTGCTGCT